TGGTGGTATTTAAAACCAGCTTGGGTGGGTTTAATACCCCCTGTGGTGTGTTAATACAAGCTTGGGTGGGATTAATCCACCTGTGATGGTTTAATATCACCTTGGTGGTATTTAAAACAGTCTTGGCAGTTTAATACCACCTGTGGGGGATTAATACCACCTGTGGTGGGATTAAAACTGTCTTTGGGAGATTAATACCACCTGTGGTGGGATTTAAAACCCGCCTGTGGAGTATTAATACCAGCCTGTGGTATATTAAACCGCCTGTGGGGATAAATACCCCCGTGGGAGTTTAATACCAGCCTGGGTGGTATTAATTTCCACAAAAAATAAAAATAAAAGACAAAAATATAACTGGGAAAAAAGAAGAAAAAACACTGAGAATAGCACAGGGGAGACAGAAAAGCCGATGGGAAAAAACTGACACACAAAAAATATTCAAAAACAGTTAAAAAAATCGAAAAACTTCACAGAAACACGCAACCGTGTGTTTTCACCCTGAATGCACACAACCGTGTGTTTTCCCCCCTGAGATGCCACGTAACTCGTGTGTTTTTACCCTGAGATGCTCACTGTAACCGTTGTTTTTACCCTGAGATGCTCACGTAACTCGTGTGTTTTTTGCCCAGAGATGCACACTGCAACTCGTGTGTTTCACCCTGAGATGCACACTGTAACTCGTGTTTTCACCCTGAGATGCCACGTAACCGTTGTTTCACCCGAGAGCCACTGTAACTCGTGTGTTTCGCCCCAAAATGCACACTGAATCGTGTGTTTCACCCTGAGATGCACACTGTAACTCGTGTGTTTCACCCTGAGATGCACACTGTAACTCGTGTGTTTCACCCTGAGATGCACACTGTAACTCGTGTGTTTCACCCTGAGATGCACACTGGAACTCGTGGTTTTTACCCTGAATCACACTGTAACTCGGTTTTCACCCTGAGATGCACACTGAACTCGTGTTTTCACCCCCGAATCACCTGAACCGTGGTTTCACCCTGAATGCACTACAACACACCACCGGGAAAAAATAATTACACATCCTAGTAAATAAAAAATTAGACAGAAACGATCTAAAGGAAGAAAAGAGTACAACCATTGAAAGACCAGAGGAACAGCAATACATGGCATGGTAATCAGTTTTTCAAGAGTTGTAACACAAGTCGCAGACCAACTGGAGGTACTTTCAATGCTAATTTAGTGTTAAAAATACAAAGAGTTAACGAGGTACACCTTGAGTGGATCCGGGCCTGATCAACCAGGCTGTTACTGCACGCAAACCAACATACCAACCATAGCTGTTCAGGAACTGACTTTATGTATCTGTCCAATTTCCTCTTGAAGATAGCCACGGGGTCTATTCTAAATTTGCCTTATGTATGATGGGAGGTTGTTGAAAAGTCTTGGGCCCCTGACACTTACTGTGATTTCTCTTAGTGTACTCACTGCACCTTGCTTTTCATAGGGGATATGTTGAACCATCTGCCTGGTATTTTGCTTTTTAAGGAGTGATTTCTGTGTACAGCAGGATTTTCTACATGTAATTTATGATGTACGTTTCTCGCCTACATTCCAGGGAATACAGGTCAAAGGATTTCAAACATTCCCAGTAATTAAGGTACTTGAATACGTACAGTGAAGGTTTCTGTACATTCTCTAATTCTGCGATTTTACCTGCCTTGAACGGAGCTGTTAGTGTACAACAGTATTCCAGCCTTGGGATAACAAGTGACGTAAAGAGGATCATCATTGGCATAGCATCTCTAGTTTTGAAAGTTCTTTTTATCTATCCTGTCATTTTCCTCGCAGATGTGATCCTTGAAGGTATGACTCTCTGACATTATCACTCCCAAGTCTTTCACATTAGCTTATCGCTTCAGTGTGTGATTAGAATTGGTTGTATATTCCGTTCTAGCTATTTTCCTGCAGTTTTCTATAACAGAGTAACTAAAATTTGTCCTCATTGAACATATTGTTTTCTGGAACCCATTGGAAAACTTGGTTTCACTCCGCTTGGATGAATTGGATGACACAGATGACTCTCTCATGCGGATTCTAGTATCGTCTGCAAAAGACGATATGGTTTACAGCTCTATGTTAGATTTAAAGATGAGGAAAAGAATGGGGCGAGTACCGTACCTTGTGGCAGAGCTTTTCACTGTAGCAGTCTTCGATTTAACTTTGTTTACAATTACTCTGTGTTTTGTTGGCTAAAAGTTAAAAATGCATCTGCCCGCTTTTCCAGTTATTCCTTTAGCACGCATTTTGTGTGCAATTACACCGTGATCGCACTTGTCAAAGTTTTTTTCAAAGTCTGTGTATACTCACCTGAGTTTTGATTGTCCTCCAGTGCATCCAAGACCATGTCATAACTAGAGTATACCTGGATAGAATTTCGGGGGTCAACATCCCTGCGGCCCGGTCCATGACTAGGCTTTGCGGTGGATTATGGCCTGATCAACCAGGGTGTTACCGCTGGCCGCACGTAGACTACGTACGATCCACAACCCGGCTGGCCAGGTAGTGGTTTTAGGTGCCTCTCCAGTCAGGGGTGTATCGGTAATCCCCCTTATGTATGCTGAGAGGATGTTGAACAGTCTTGGGCCCCTGACACTTACTGTGTCGTCTCTTATGTAATCCTGGCGCCCTGCTTTTCATTGGGGGATGCTGCATCTCCTACCGAATCTCTCGTTTTCGTAGGGAGTGATTTTCGTGTACAGATTTGGGACTAGTCCCTCTAGGATTTTCCAGGTATATACTATCATTTGTCTTTTTCACCTGCAGTCCAGGGAATACAAATCAAAGGACTTCAACCATTCCCAGTAATTTAGGGGCTTTATCGTACTTATACATGCTGTGAAAGTTCTCTAAATATTCTCCAGGTCTGCAATGTTGCCTGCCTTGAAAGGGATCATTAGTGTACAGCAATATTCGAGCCTAGAGAGAACAAGTGATGTGAAGAGATCACCGTGAGCTTGGCGTCCCTAGTTTTGAAGGTTCTTATTATCCATCCTATCATTTTCCTAGCAGAAGTTGTAGATACATTGTTGAGATCTTTGAAAGTGAGATCCTCTGATATTATCACTCAAGGGTCCTTCACATTACTTTTTTGTTCTATTATGTGGTTGGAATTTGTTTTATATTCTGATACAAATTTAATTTCCTCGAGTTTTCCATAGCGGAGTAAATGAAATTTGTCTTCCTTGAGCTTTGTATTTTTTTTTCTGTGACCCGTTTAAAGATTTGGATACTTGCAGTGTCTTCGATGGATGACACTCATGCAGATTAGGGTGTCGTCAGCAAAGGAAGACACGGTGCTGTGGGTTACATCTCTCTGTCACATATGAGTCTGAAGAACTGGTTGGGAGCGAGTACAGTGCCTTGTGGAACAAAGCATTACACTGTAGCTGCCTCTGACTTTACTCTGTTTACTTCTACTCTTTGAGTTCTATTTATTAGGAGGGTATAGATCCATCTACTTGTTATCCCTTTATCACGCATCTTGTGTGCTATTACACCATAATCTCACTTGTCGAAGGCTTTCGCAAAGTTTGTGTATACTACACCTGCATTTTGTTTGTCCTCCAGAGTGTCCAAGACCTTGTCATAGTGGTCTAGTAGTTGGGATAGGCAGGAGTGACCTGCTCTGAGCCTATGCTGCCCTGGGATGTGTAACTGGTGAGTGGCGATCTTGCTTCTTAGAACCCCTTCAAAGTGCATAGTGGTCCAATAGTTGTGAGAGGCAAGACTGACCTGCTGTAAACCTGTGCTGCCCTTGGTTGTGCACTTGTTGGGTGTCCAGGTGGTAGTTGGCGATCTCGCTTCTTAGAACCCTTTGAAAGATTATTATAATCGGGAACGTTAGAGCTATCGGCCTATAATTATTTATTGTTACTTTGCTGCCACCTTTATGGAGTGTGGCTATATCCGTTTTATTTAGAGACTGTGGGATGACACCCATGTCCAGGCTTCCTCTCCATAGCATACTTAAGGCACGTGAAAGGGGAGTTTCTTGCAGCTCTTAATGAACACAAAGTTCGACAAATCGGGTCAGAGTGGATGAACATGTTGTCAATACAAGGAATGTTCTGGACAGTCAGATATGCATGCAAAACTTCAATGAATATTCATGTGAGGTTATAAACTTGAGTAGAACTCTACGTAAGAGACTCAGCTTATTGTAAAGACCTGTTAAAATCATTAGATATTACGGTGGACATGCTAAGTACTAAAGGAAACAAAAATCTGGCAATTATTCTCCTATTAAAAACTAACGTCAACAAAAGAGGAGAAATTCACAAATTAAGAATGATAGCTAGCTGTCTTGAACGCCTTTGAAATCCTGCATCAAAAATTACCGTCCTTGGAAACTTCAACCTTCCAGTGTTAGATGAAAAATGGTAGAAAGCAGCATTGTACCAGAAGTAGTCACTGAAAGCAAACTAACGCGACAGACACATGCCAGTTACTGGGGATCTGTGAAAAGTTTATTTTTGAACCAAGAGGCAAGAGAAATTACCAAAAATAAAAATACGTTAGAATTCATTTTCACGAACAATTAGGAACATTACTGAAAAAAAGCATAAATCCATAAGTAGAAAACCTAAGAAATAACCAGTGTGATGGGATGGTCAGTAAATTTAAATTAAATAATCGGAAAATTGACTGGGACAAAATAAATAAAAAAAGACCTATTAGACAGTCTCTGGGAAACAGTCGTGAGCACCTTCAACCAACACGAATTGATGGAAAAGCTAGTCGAAGTAGGTCTTTGTCCAAAGGTTGAACAAGCGTTGAAGAATTCTTTGTAAGAAGATCCCATGATGCTGCAGTGTCTGACAGTTGTGATGAATGGTTTGAAAAACCGACAAGTTGAAGATTGAGACACTTATGCAGCATATGGGAATCTTTATTCAGGAAACGTTTCGCCACACATATGCTGCATAAGTGTCTCAATCTTCAACTTGTCGGTTTTTCAAACCATTCATCACATCTACGGGAGGTATTAGTACTGGCAGGGTGGCATGACTAGTTAACTGTTGGTGTTGATGGGTCGTATAACCATAATAACAAGTATAACTAACTTCTTTTACAGGACGTATTAGTACTGGAGGGGTGGTGGGCATCGTAATTTCTGTGATGGTGGCAGTGACTGTTCTGGCCTTCCTAGTCTACACTTACGCCTTCAAGACGCGAGCCCGACCCTCCAGGACTTCTCATACCCAGATTGACGGTGACTCTCCCAAGTTTGTCTGTCTTGCAGTCATTATGAATCCAAATTGTTACAGTTAAGGATCACCTGAAGATTCAATATCACTCTTTCCTCCAACCCCCAGAAAAGCAGATATCGAAAGTTGTACGAATATACGAAGTGTCAGTTTTTAATTTGAAATAGCTTAATTCACCTAATGTATCTAAGAATTTCCTTAACTATATTGGTGATCTGTCATCTTCAGGTGACTCTCAGCTGAGCTGAAATGTTTTAAAAATGTTCTGATGGAATTTAAATAGCTTATGATACATGTTTCTCTTCTGTGTTCTATCAACTAAATAAATATTTTTTTCCGTTCTCAAGGCACCACTATAGAATACTCATCAGCATAAGAAACCATGTGTGTATTAGAGTTTCATCAGTCTTCAACATGAGCAGCAAATTAACATTACGAGTCTTCAAGAGAAGAAATATGTGTGCGAAGAATTGAATTAACCTGACCCAGTGTTACTATTAACAAACCACGAGGAGACATTGCAACATGGACAATACTCTCAAAATCGGATATATCAGCTCATCTTTGTACCATTCATAAGGTTTATATTATATGGTTTATATCAGCTTAAGCGACGACAGAGCATTATCCACGCTTGAACGCAGACGCTGTCTGAAAGAGGTTCAATACTGATATAACGAATATAGATTATAACTTGGCAAAGGTTAAGCAGAGTTAGGTAAATCATCATCGTATATTAAATCTTCTGTTATGAGACTGTGGTTAGATTTTGTCTCTGAATAAAACTGAACAGCTTTGTGGATATTTGTTTTAACCCATCCAGAAAAATGCCCTATTTATTGCCCTACGGGTGCCCCGTGGCCTGGTGGCAAAAGCTCTCGCTTCACACGGTGAGGGTCTGGGTTCGATTCCTGGCGAAAGGGTGGAAGCATCGGACGTATTTCCATCAGTAAAATAGGTACCTGGGTGTTAGTGGACTGGTGTGGGTCGCATCCTGGGACAAAACTGACCTAATTTGTCCGAAATGCTCAGCATAACAAGCGGCTTTCTGTATAGTAGTATGTCATTGTTGTCAGCTAGGACTGTATACCTTGTACATGTACTGGTAGTAATAAAGATATTATTATTATTATTATTATTATTATTATTATTATTATTATTATTATTATTATTATTATTATTATTACTTATTAATTTGACGTTGTTGCCTCGGACAGCCCACCTTCACACTAGATGTATTTTGATCACTGACCCCTCAAGGAGGGTTCCTTGACGCTGGTGAGGGGCTCTTGATCTAGGGAATTGGATTTGTGCTCAAGTTCCTTGAACTGAGCCTGAATGCCTTCCATCCCCCACCCCACAGGCGCTGTCTAATCCCTACAGGTTTAACTCTCCCTCATGATAATAATGTCATCACTAAGCGACCCATGAGAGGAACCCATTCTTTCCAAAAACTCAAACCTTCTAACGTTTCAAAATACCACAAACAAAGCACCAATGAATTTGATAAAATAAAAAAAATAATTGAGAAAATCAGCAAGTGAAGCCGCCCTATACAGTTATTATAGTGACAGTGTTTCTTAGCATATTATTCAAAATGATTTCAGATTTATTTTCATAAAAAAGGTGAACCTATAAAGACAGTTTTGGGTGTGTGAAATTGCGATGATTCTCTTAAATATCCCATGACTGACTTTGATTTTCAGCTTGTTTTTATAATAATAATAATAATAATAATAATAATAATAATAATAATAATAATAATAATAATAATAATAATAATAATAATAATAATATCTTTATTTCTACAAGTACATGTACATGGTATACAGTCCTTGAAACCCCAACGAAGACCATCGAGAACGTCACGACGAATTCCACAAGTGAAGGAAAGAACATTGTTTTAGTTGGAGACAGTCAGGTTAAGTTTATGGACAGGGCTTTTTGTCGTAGGGACAGGAAGAGGAGGCAGAGGGTATGTTTTCCTGGGACTGGGATGGAGATATTGTTAGCCGTCTGGACGACATCATGAAAGGGAATGGGAGCAATCCTATTATCTGCCTCAGTGCCGGAGGCAACGATGTTGGCAGACGTAGGAGTGAGGACCTGATTAGCAGGTATAGGTCAGCAATAGAGATAATTTGAAAGAAGGGTGGGAACCCTGTCATATGTGGTATTTTGCCAAGGAGAGGAGTTGGAAACGAATGGTTGTCCAGGGCAATTGGTGTCAATTGCTGGCTGGACAAATACCGTAAGGAAAATGCGGTAACATTCATTGACAACTGGGACCTCTTCTATGGCAGAAATGACACATATGCCAGGGATGGGGTACACTTATCTAGGCCTGGGGTGGGGGCACTGGCAACTGCAGTGGAGGGAGCTCTTAGGGCTTTAAACTAGGAATAGTTAGTTGCATGGGTTTTGGCAGGAAAACAGTGAAGTCCCAGTGTAGTAATATTATGAGTTCTAGGGGAACTAGTAATAAGCAGAACGAGGTAGATATTGAAAAGCCAGTGACACTACGTGACAAGGACAGTAATAGGTTTAGTAGAAAAACAGAAATGAGCAGGAAGGGTAGAGAGAAAGGATGGTCTTTCAATGTATATTATGCTAATAGCCGTAGTACTAGGAATAAGATGGACGAGTTGAGATTAGTTGCTAGTGCAGGTAACATTGATGTATTTGCCATAAGTGAGACGCGGTTTAATTCAAAAAGTCGGGACATGCCTGCGGAATGTCACATTCAAGGTTTTAAATTGTTCCAAGTAGATAGAAGTATCGGGAAGGGGGGTGGGGTGGCATTGTATGTCCGAGATCGCTTGAACTGTTGCATAAAAACGGGTATTAAGTCTGAAGTAACACATGCAGAGTCTGTTCGGATAGAATTTTCAGAGGGGCATGAAAAATTTATTTAGTAGTGATATACCGTCCCCCAAACTTAGATTGGGACCAAGGGAGACTACTATGGGAGGAAATTGTTAAGGCCACAAGGCACGATAATGTAGTAATTCTAGGAGACTTTAACTTTAGTCATATTGATTGGAATTTCTTGACTGGGAATTTAGAATCTAACGACTTCTTAGAAGTAGTTCAGGATTATTTTTTGAGGCAGTTTGTGACAGAACCTACAAGGGGATATAACCTGCTTGACTTGGTTCTGGCAAACAAGGAAACCCTTGTTAATAATTTAGTAATTACAGAGGAACTCGGCACAGGCGATCACAAATCAATTACCTTTAGCATTGAATGGAAGTATGACAGTAGGGATAACTCAGTACTGGTCCCAGATTTTCGCTTAGCAGATTACAATGGGCTTAGAGAACACTTATCATCTGTGGACTGGAGTAACGAAGAGAACTATCAGTATGACAGCTTTCTTAACACTATACATGCTGCCCAAAGAACATTTATCCCATATAAGGAAATTAGATCGATTTGAAATGACTCAAAATGGATGAATAATAGGCTCAAATATCTTTTAGGGCAGAACATGAGAACATAAGAGTGGAGGAACACTGCAGAAGACCTACTGTCCCATACAAGGCAGGTCCTTTTCAAAATGACCTCTACCCAAAGCTACCTAAGAATTTACTCCTGTACCTAATGACAAATCAAACCCAGCCCCTCCCACTCATATATTTGTCCAGTCTCTTCTTAAAGCTACCCAAGGTCCCAGCCTCTATCACCCCACTGGGAAGACTGTTCCACGCATCCACAACTCGGTTAGAAAACCGGTACTTACCTATGTCCTTTCTAAATCTAAATTTATCCAACTTAAATCCATTATTCCTGGTTCTTACCTGGTTCGACACCCTCAGTACTTTATTAATATCTCCCTTGTTTATGCCCGTCATCCACTTATACACTTCAATGATATCTCCCCTCATTCTACGCCTCTCCAGAGAGTGGAGATTTAAGGCTTTAAGTCTATCTTCATACGGGAGGTTCCTTACACAGTAAATAATTTTGGTCACTCTTCTCTGTATGTTCTCCAATGAATCTATATCCATCCTGTAGTAAGGAGACCAAAACTGAGCAGCATAATCTAAATGAGGCCTCACTTGTGATGTATAGAGCTGTAACATAACTTTTGGACTTCTGTTATTTATAATTCTAGAGATAAATCCTAGTAATCTGTTGGCCTTGTTGCGCACACTAAGGCACTGCTGTCTTGGCTTTAGATTTCTGCTTACCATGACTCCCAAGTCTATCTGTTTAATAACCATGTCCCTCGTGACAGTAATATTAGCTAATTTAAATTCATCATGAACTAAATAATTTTTAATTACTGGAATCTCATTTACATCTTCCTGTGTAAAAACCTGACAAAAAATAGTCATTAAATAAGGAACACATTTCCAGTTCATTATCCGTCAGCTGTCCATTCCCAATTTTCAGAGGTCCTACTTTTTCCTTCACCTTCGTCCTATATACTTGAAAGAAACCCTTTGGATTAGTCTTTAATTCATTAGCAATTCTAATCTCATAGCCACGTTTAGCCTTTCTAATTCCCTTTTTTACTTCTCTTTTAAGCTGGACATGTTGGTCAGTAAGGTTAACCTCTCCTCTTCTGATGCGCCTATAAATTCCCCTTTTCTCCCCTAATAAAGCTTTAGCCTCCTGTTAATCCATTTGGGATCGTTATTATTAGACCTAATTTCTCTCTGGGGAATGTATATACTCTAAGCACGGTGTACATTATTAAGAAAAAAAATCATAAATACAGATCCCCTCATAATCACAAGCACGATCATCGTCAATAAAATCATTAGCTAGATAACCCCAATCGAGATTTGAGAGGTGTTCCCTAAGTCCATTGTAATCGGCAAAACGAAAATCAGGGATTTTTACCGTATTATCATTATTCTTGTATTCCCAGTTAATGCTAAAAGTGATGGATTTGTGATCACTTGCGCCAAGTTTGTAGATGAATGGTTCAGAGAACCGACATGTGTCTAATTTATCAACTTGCGCCAAGCTCTTCAGTGATCTCCAGATTATTTACGAGTGTTTCCTTATTTGACAAGACTAGGTCTAGCAAATTATTACCCCTGGTAGACTCTGTTACACACTGCTTCAGAAAACAGTCCTGAACTGTTTCCATAAAGTCACTGGACTCTAGATTACCGGTCAAAGAATTCCAGTCAATTTGACTAAAGTTAAAATCCCCTACTATCACTATGTTATTGTGTCTAGAAGCCCTAACAATTTCGTCCCAAAGAAGTCTCCCTCTATCGTGATCCAAGCCTGGAGGTCGGTATATTACACCTTGATTAAGTTTTTCTTGACCCTCTACAAACTCTACCCAAACAGATTCTGTTACTGTTCCATCTATTTTTATACCTGTTTTTATGCAACAATTAATATTTTCTCGAACATATATTGCAACTCCTCCTCCCTTCCCATTACATCTATCCACATGGAAGAGCTTAAACCCTTGAATATTACACTCAGCAATCAGTTAATGCAATGATATCAAAGTTCCCAGCACATGCTACCAAACGTAGTTCATTAATTTTATTTCTTGCACTTCGACTGTTAGCATAAAATACCATCATATGTTTTTTCTTCTGCACATTTTTCCTATTCATCTTTGTTTTTACACAATTTCTGAAATTATCATTACCCAGAGTTACTCCATGACAGTTACTATTAAGATTCTTAATATCAGAGCATAAGTCAATATATCCATACTCATTATTTATCATTTCTAAACCCATACCTCTAACTAATCCTAGTTTAAAGTCCTAACAACCCCCTCAACTGAGCTAGCAAGAAAACCCACACCTGCCCTGGA